AGAACCACGGTCTACCTATCTGTACTGTCTGCCCAAGTCCAATTCAATATATTGTTCACTGCCCAATCGCGACTACTGAACAAACGCAGGTGAAGTTCTTAGAATTCGGTTTCGCCGCAAGTACTACTGACCGTCCGTTGGTGAATTAGACTACACGTAACCTGTCAGATAGGACATCTAGATCGTGCGTTTAGGCTAAGTAACCTATTCCTTGCTTTGAGATCACGGCGTTAGCACGGGATCGTACAGTGTTATTAGAACAGAGTGATAATGATGTTGAATGCCAGGACAGAGTGTATGCACACCTAAATAAGTGGAATGGATGTTTTGTAACAAACAATTTAAAAGATTGAGCAATGTTCTTCGATGTTCCTCTGATTTTTATGTAGGAATACCTAATCTCTTGCAAAAGTTGAGTAACGTATGCGATGTGCCTGAATTTCAACATATTGGTTCACGTATACATGTTCTCGGATGGTCAAGACTTGGGAGAAAAAATGGCCCTACAATTTTTCCTCAACAGCCTCAGCGTAATATCAGTGGCACCTGCACTGTAAATACTGTAGAAATAAACAATGATCCATCAAAATATCATTACTTAGTTACTCGCCAAGCAGGAGAATTCAATTGCTCCGGTCAGACACACGTGACCCCGAGGCGCAGTGAAAGTATGAAATCAAATCTTTGCGAAAAGACAACGAATTTCTGGCGTTTCAAGTATGTGCACGTTATTTCTAGAAGGCTTAAATTTAACATACCCATCTATTCTGGCCAATAGAATGTGAGAATTCATGCTTTAGGTTTCCAATTGCGTGGAGCACAAACTCTGTCGTTCTTATTTACCGGCAGTTTTTCAAATTCAGTAATTCATTGAGTATATTTAGTTCCCTTCTCATTCAAATATAACTCAACTAAAATTAGAGGTGAAATTATTCTGGAAGAGACTTTTCATTCCTTTAACCGATGTGACAGTCTGTACTTGAACAGGCTGTTAACTCGTTTACGGTTGACCAAAAGACAACTTTTACCCACCATAGATGGATCTTATAACAGAATCACCACTGAGACTCCAAAAAACAGACAGTGTAAGATCGTTTAAGAAATAATGGTTTTAGTTCGAAACGGACTGCAATGAATCCATACATCAGCATTTAGTAGCCTGTTTTATCTGTATAATTCCAAATTAAACACCATCAAAACCCACGCCATTATAATTTAAGTTAGAAAACACCAACGGACCTTGCCGACCTATGTTATGTAATGGTTTACTAACGACCTTTTACAGTCCTTGTTATCGACTGAAGTCACAGTTTACGGCTTACGCGAATCAGTGAGAACGAGTTGTTCCATAGGTTAACCTTAGTCCTACATTCTAGCTTTATTAACTAACAATCTTGATACGTCCTCAACAATAAGAGTAATTCTTGCACTTTCAGTACTTTGGCTGTACTGTTCATGATATCGCAAGTGAACAAAGATTGAGTCTGAAATATGTTTGTTAATCTGGGCAGCTAATGGATCCAGTGACGCATATGTAATTTATAGTTTCTAACCAGCTTCTTGGCGACTAATTCCTAACTATCACAGGCTCAGTTGTGTCGACAAATTTTTCACAATATAATCAAGCAGTTTGACTTTATCCATAAAAGATGAAAATCAATATAGATTTCGTGGGCCTGTATCAATGAGCTTTTGAAGGTTATTAATTTTTTCTATTTCGTAACACTGGGTTTTCATGTCATAAGTACGCCCTGACAACAAGTATATCGGTTGCATTAGGACCACAACAATGGAACAACAGCTTGTCGATTGACCACAACGAAATTTGCGAATGTATCTCATATATAGTATTTTCCGGACAGAAACTCGAGCTTCCTGATTTGTTAACAGTTCAAACTTGCACTTCTGTTTTGAACACAGTTCTCACTCTATTGTATATTTTGCGATTTCTAAAATTCTTTCAAGATAAACTTTATTGCATCAAATAGCATACATGTCATACACACCATGATTTCAATATCAGGGGCTACTTCGGGACTCCGCAATTTGCACCGGGAATTCAATGCACATAAATGAATTTCCTTCGGCATCATGTAGTTCCCAACGAAGATCCATCGTAACCTGCAAAAAATATTCCAAAAAAATGTGTCGTTACTCAACAATAAAATGTCAGGATAACTTTTAACAAACTCTTAACTTGCAGGAGCATTCTGACGCTGTTGCTGTGATCGATGACAAACTAATTGTTCTCAGAACAGTCTGACACCATGCGGGTCCACATTCCCGGTAGTACGGCATACACAGGGATTACAGTATAAGGTTATGTGGTCGTTGGCTTGTTCGCTGAGCTGGGCAATTTGATTGCAAACGTTTCATCACCAATCGAGGTGACATCATCAGTGCGTTATTGTGGAGCGTAGTAGCGCGTAGCGGTGGGTTGGTGGTTGTGCGTTGGGTAGTGTTGTGCGTGTGTTAATATACGTGCTGCTAGCGGGGGATGACCTTTGGTCGCGATTAGTTGTTCGGTCGGGTGATTCCATTGGTTGCTCCGTTGTCCTGTATCCCCATTCGCCGATGCCCACGTGACCTTTGAGCTTGGCATCCCCTGCCGTCGTAATCTGGTCGATGCTAGATTGACCTTTGTCCTTTCAAGTCCTGGGTTGTGACTTTTATTGATTTGCCTCCAAGGAGTTCCTTGTTTCGTTGTTTGTGAATCCAATATTCGGTCCTCCTTGAGTTTTCCGGTTGAGTTGTTGGTCTTTTGCACGTAGGGGTGCGTAAATTGGGTCCAGGTCGATGCACCGGTTGATCGAATTTGCCGTGGAGTACCATGCTTCCAGAAATTCTCTTTATCTCTCCGTGCCTCTGTATGCCAAAATTTCTGCGTTTTCCAAGTTGAATTTGTGGCCTTCTTGGTCCTCGTGTATGGATATCAAGGACAGGGGGTCATGCCTCCT